ACCACACAATTGAAATGAGTACCATTATTTGAAGCCACTGTATATGTGATTAATTTTGACCTGTCTTTAAAAGCAGTCAAAACTATACCTGGGCCTGTGCATTGCTGATCTTGATAAGCTGAAGGGGAGTGTGAAGAAGCTCGCTGGAGAACTCGTATTTGAGAGATCCACGTTCACGATATTCAGCCTTGATAGATGGAATGGGGTCTTTCTGGAGCTCAAGGAATTCCAAGGACTGCCTTTAAATTTTGAGGGGAAATAAGTTAGATCAAAATACAACAGAGAGTGCTATCACCCCCCTGTTCTTAGCAACCCTTAATATACTTGGTCCTCATTTGAGCAGCTCCGTTAGCCTCAGAGAAAGGTGAAAATTGAATCAGCTCATTAACGGCTGCCTTCAGGATCATGACACCACTAGCAACTGGTTTCAAGATGTAACTGAAAGTAGTGGTGCCTCTCAGGTTTTTGGTTTCCTGTTAAAAAAGTCCCATATTAAATGCAATGCTCAGCATTCAAAGATATGTAATTAGTAACTAATGGTTTTAACTTTACCTCCTGGCATTTGACACACTTCTCAGTGTATGCCAACCCAATGTCCTTCATGAGTCTCTCCTGGCAGTTGTTCAAATCCCTGGTCTTGGTTAGAAGGATGTTCTCAATGCGTGCATCTTCACTGATGGAATAGAGGGTCTTGCATACACCTTGAGTTCCAACCTTTGGGGAACAGACACCATTTTAGCATGAAGTTTGAAGACTACTCAAAAATAACTTTTCAAAAACACCACTATGTTTTATTTTGTGCTTCTTTTACAAACCTCCTGCAAGTCATAGACTTTGTGGGTCTTCTTGATGTTGAGCTGAAGGATGTTCAAGATGCCTCTGTGGATGTTCAGCACCAATGTCGAGATTCCTTCAGGAGCAAATATTTTTCCAACAACACCGCTGGAATATTCAAACTTGATTGGAATCGCAAGCTGAGGTGCAAGGGCTGCCGTTAACTTGGTTGCTGGCACTGCTGGGTCCTTTGGCCAAATGCCACTGTACTCAGAGAGCTCAGGTTCCAAAAGCTGTTATGGATTTAGATCAACTCCGTTAGTTACCGATTAGAACATTTTTAATAGTTTTAAAATTTTGTGGTGTTACTTTTACCTTCAGGATGTAAGTATTTTGATCAGCTGCACTGATTAACACCTTGGTGCTGATGTTCAGTCCAGCTCTGGCCAAACCTTCCTCAGGAAGGCCACCCAGGATTGATGCTTCATACTTATAGACGTAGGTCTTACCGGCAGCAAATTCAGGGGCTGTGAACAAAATGTATCACAGTAAGAATTAATCTACCTGTTTATAAAAAGGTACATGGAGAATAATTTAGTTTACATTAAAATAAGGAACTCACCAAAATTAGGATTTTGTCCAGCTTTATGGAAATAAAATAAAAAGATTAGTCAATGTAGAAGTATACAAAATATAAAGATTGAATATTTTTCATACACTAAGTATGAAAAAATAAATTGGCATTGAAATTATCCATTTAATTCACAATGAAGAAATGATTCTATAGCTCCAGAAGAATTCCCCCCAAATCCAAGATTAAATAAATGCCACAAAAAAAGGCATTTGAGTAAAAATGTAAAAACCTTACTTTAAAGATAAAAAGAGAGTAAAAATCTTTGAAAAAAAATATTATGAGAAAATAAGATATAAAAATTGAAACGAGTGTAGAATTTTACTTACCCACAAAGGCCAGAGTCAGGGCTAGCACAACCGCTTTCATGGCTGATGAGGCTGTGACTGTCTGTGGTGAGAGGGAGCCTTTTATAGGGAAGTTTGCTTTGTTTACATATCCTTGTTGCATTTAATTTAATGGATTACTTATTTATCTTTTTGTCAGAGACAGGTTTTAGTGACATTTATCAAAAGATGGACAGTTAGGTTCACCTGACCTTGTTTTCTCACAAAGGTCCTGTTGACCCTGTTCCAAATTCTTACCAAATCGTTCAATTTAGCAATTCCTGTTTTATTCATAAAGTAGGTATATTTGCTTACTCTCTGACAAGATATTTGCAATATGTGACTATTATTCTAGAAGAAAACAATTATATAACAATTTAGAACAAAATACTTCACCTTCTCTATGAGAAAGTCTTAAAATTTTGAAATGGATTGTACCCTTAAAATCAAACAATTTAGCTGGCAGAATAGCTCCAGGAAGATTCTTTATAGCAGAAAACACAAATATAATAAAACTCAGAAATGAAATGTCTTCCCAAAACTCCCACAATTTGGAAAAAGGAAAAAATGCATGTCATTGTATTCAAAATATATATTTTTTTTATATTTCTGCATTTCGTTTGTGTATAATAAAAACACATGCCTTAATTCATAAAAACCTCTGAAAAATTGGGTTCACAGACTTTTAATACAGTTAATTTTAAGCATTTCCATCTTCTTTTTTTTTACTTTTTCATCACTAATATTTGGACATAATGCAATACATTACACTGAGAAAATAGTTTAAATTCACTGTCATTTGAAAACAAAATGTTTATTACTCTGTGTGCTGCAGAAACAAGCCTGAATTTTTGCATTCACTAAAAACTAATTTTGTCTACTGGTGTTTTCCCTCAAACATGGCAACTAGACCATATGCACACAAACTATGATGTCACTGCAGAGTAGGTTGACAAGCCCTCAAAAAAATAAATAAATAAATAAAATAATTTGGGGAAACTAGATTGCAGGAAAGATAGGATTTTTAAGCAGTGTGTTTATTTTATGACTCACTTTAACAGGGTTGCTTTACGTCATGCTGCTCTCATATCAAATAAAAAAAAAAAAAACTTCTGCAAACTTCACAGAAAACTGAGAGAATCAGCTGTCACTTGGATTACACAATTATAAACCTTTTTGCATGTTTTTAGACTGCTTTTCTGTTCTTTAAATGATTGTATACACCTCACTGATTTTAACTTTGAGTATAACAGTGCCATATGGTTTTCCTGCGCTTTCATTTACATTGCTGTAGGCAAGTTCTTTTTAATTCATGATCCAGTCCATTCCAAAGATCAATGCCATACCTTTTTATAAATATTTGCTTCACATTGGTATGAACAGACTGCTTTCTGCAATTCTTTTGACCTCTTGTATTATCTTAATAACAGCTGCAGATTATGAAGAAACATTATAAATTGCTTTGTACATTTCTTGAAGTAATATGAGTTGTATTACATAATCTATTTTTTAAGATTTTATATTTCCTTATAACCAGTATTATGATCAATGGACATAACTCTTTTCTGCAGTTTAAAAAAAAAATCTGTAAATTGGTTCAAGAGTATTTACCCAAACCTCAAGGCAGTAGTTGATAGATGGTTGATTTTCCCATACTGATATGCATTTAGCCATCTTGGCTTTGATGGTAGATACTGTATATGAGGATTCTAGGACAGTTTTCAATATAACTCATATCTAAATAATAAAAAGAATATGGTTCTTAACAAGTTCTATATTTTTTATCTTTTTATTTAATTTTCACTTTAACAGTATTTTAATTTCTATCATCAAATATCATAAATTTGTTTTTTGTTTCAGGTTAAGAAAAAATTTGTCATCAAAGCATTTTTAGAGCTTTATCATCTCTGTAGTTATGAGTGGTGTTAACTGCAGTACTATTCGAGTGGAAATGAATCAGCATCAACCCTGGCCAAAGGGTCAAAGTCATGTAACCAGGACAGGGTGGCCTGAAAAAACTCCCAGTCCGGCTTTGCTGAGGAGCACAGTCTTTTTCCAGACAAAAGTATGAAAACCTTAAGCTCTCACCTAAACAGCCTCCTAACAACCCAGCTGCAAGAGCATTAATAGTAGCTGATCATTCAAAACACTTCTGCAACAAGAAAAACACGGAAATAGTGGATGTTGGCTGAAGTACGGTGTCCGAAATCTTCATTCAAAAGGAAAGTTGTCTCTAGGAAGTTGAAATCGCCATTGAGAAGTGCTACAGCAGTGAGAAAAAAAAGAGCGTCAAAAATTTGAACGAAGGTGGCAAAAGAATGGACTCCAGGTTCACTATGAAATCTATAAAGAGAAACTTCAAATAATTTACAACCAAAACAAGCAAGATATTTTTTCTTCTCTAAGATTATCAACAAAAACATCAACAAAGCTTGCATCTTATTTGCCACAGTCGGCAGCTTAAAAAACCCTCCTATCTCCATGGCTGATGAACTCGAATTTATAAATGCCTTCAATGACTCTGCAAAACTCAAGGTATTAGAAGCCGTTTGTTCATCAATGTCAACTACAGTACTGATTTGTTAATTGTTTGAATGTTTATTTAACACCTAATTGGCAGGAACACCTAGGGCCAAAAGTGGCATATAGCATATGCCAATTGGGAACCGGCATATGCCATGAGGGAACCAGCTTATGCCATTTGGGAACCGGCATATACCAGTTGGGGACGGCTTATGTCAGTTGGGAAATGGCATATGCCAGTTGTGAACCATATTGAAAAATGTTATACAGTATGCCGGTTCCCAACTTACATATACCATTGTTCAAAACTGGCATGCCAGATACCACTTTTGGCTCTCACTGTCACTCTTAATTGGTGCTCAGCCCTAATGGGCTTATTAGACACTATCAATTTATGTACAATACAATAACCATGTGACAAAATAAAAAAAATCAAAGAATGACATAATAAAAATCCAAGAAGATTTTGCACATACAGAGAAAATACTTCATCATATGGGATATAAATACTTTGTCACAGATTCAGAGCCTTTTCCAGAACTTTTGCCTGAGCAAGAACATCTTTTTCAAACAGCCTGTGGAGAATCTCCACTTTGTGATTCCAAAATAAATCAGGATTTTTTTTTACTGAATTGATTGAAAAAGAGAGTTTCTTAGATCACTGTACAAAGGACAGCAAAGAACAAAATTAAATTGATTTTCCACAACCTGGAGATCACAGAATCCAGATAAACGTAAATGTTCAGTTGTGCCTTTAAATCGACCCACCTCTACAGCCCGACGCAAGGTGCTAGTTCTTAACATAGATATATCTGCCTTCTGCTTAAATTAAACAAAATATAAGGTTCTGTAAGATAATGATTTCAAATTGAACAGAGTATTTAAGTTTTGGTTTATTCCATAAATCCTGTTTCCATTGAGTTTCATATCTCATAAGTAAGCTTTAATCTTACAGAATTTATATTACATTGCACATTATTTCCAACCATTATATGCATGTCAGAATCTGCCAATACTACGGCAATCTCTCTAAATCAGGGCTAAAGATTTGAAAATTTTTCTTAGTTTGCCTTTCCTCTGACAGACTAAGAAGGTGGTTCCACAAACGCACCATTTCACATATTTGTTTTATTATGCATGCCTCCCATCCTGCGTCCCCTTGAACAACAGCCTTTGCTGCATATTTAGGGCACACCTAGAAAACACCTCAAGGCACAATTCTGAAGACAGTTGCATATGAAACCTCTCCATACCCCCAGACTCCTGGGTCAAACAAAGACTTAAAAAGTTGAATTAATGTAGAAAAGCTGATATTTTCATCACATCATTTATGTATCAAAGAACCTAAAGCTCTTCCAGCAGATGCTGCTAGAATTATTCCCCCTTCGAAAACTTCATATTTACATCAGAAACAAAACCAAGGTATTTATAATAATGGGGGAAGTTTAACGCCACAGAACCAAACTGAAATGTTTAGTAGTTCTTTGAATCACCCTTATTTCTACATGATATTGTTTGTGTTTTTTCACTTTCAATGGTGAGACCATTTACAGAACCAAGACTCAAAATATCCAAAATATTTTGCAGATTTTCTTCATTTTCAGCAATAAAAGTAGTGTCTTCTGCATAGAGTACTAAATTGATATCCTTTATTGGAACTCCAAGAATAAATTGTGTCATGATCTTGGCACTGATGACTGGCTTTATTACTCATTCAATTCACCTGTCTAACTCTGCCCGGTTTCTCGTTATTGCTCATCTCATCCACCTGCCTCTATTTAAGGTGCTTGCATCCAATCATCAGGGCCATATTACTCTTGTTCTCTCCAGCCAGTGGTGAGAATGTTATTAGAGTTCCTTGGTGCATCTGATTTTCCTAATCCTGACCTGTTCTTTACTGAACCACTAAGCCTGTCTGTTCCAGTCTGATCTCAGTGATGGGATGTTTTTTAGCTTACCTGAGTGTTTCTGATTACTTAATCCTGACATGTTATGCCTCACAACCACTGAGCCTACCTTTTCCCATCTAAATGGTGTCCCTGAACCGTCTTTGGACTCCTGGACCTCTCAGCATGCCTATTCGGTTCTGATCCCTTTGGATGACCTGGCTTCTGACTCCTGGACCTCTGATCATGCCTATTCCTGTTCTTAACTGTTTGCCTGACCTGGCTTGGGACTCCTGCATGCTCTTGGACAATCTGGGCGATGCCCACCACATCTTGTTTCCAGCCCACCGGCTGGATCCTACCTCGTTCTCTAGCTATGGACAGGTTAGTGACTCATGTTTATAATCTTCCCCCATTAGATTACGTGGACACTAACCTGTGTTTCCTCTATCCAGTGTTTCCTCCTAGCAGCTGTTATCACAGACCTGTTTGTTTTAATAAATCCTTTTTGAATAATCCCACTGTCTGTCTTGCCTGAATACTGGGTCCTCTGTTCTGAATCATGACAGATTGTTTAATATCTGCTGTTGGACCATTTATATAGAGTGCAAACAACTAAGAAGAAAGTAAGTCT